TTGAATCTAGTCCGTATAATATATAATAAAAATTAATAATATAATGTGTATAATATTTGTATATGTATAAAATAAAAATAATAATAGAAAAAAATCAAATTTTATTAGGTTTATTGCGATAGCTCAAACACTATATTGTAAAGTGTTATTAGATCAAACAAAATGTGATTTTTTCTATTATTATTATTTATTTTATAGGTACCTATACAAATAATGTGTGGAAGAAGAAAAACAAAATAAAATATCAGATTGACTATGTGACTTTTGATTATGTGAAGTGTTTGAGCTTTCGAAATAAACCAAATAAAATTTGGTTTTTTTTCTATTATTATTATTATTTTATACCTAAAAAAATTTCGTTTAAGTTGTCATTCCTAAGTCTTACTAACTTAACTTACGTACAGGTGTAATTTTTTCCGTGTGGGAACTTACGTACGGGCGTATTTTTTTCGTGTGGGAACTTACATATGTACTCGCTTACCTGCTATGTTTCGTGTGGGAACTTACCAAACCCCGATGAGACGTGTGAATTATCGCAATCGAAGGATCGTGCAGTTAATTACCTACGTATTATAATCATTATTATGCATATTAATATTATAATTTAATCTCTTTCGATTGCCATACTAGTATTATAATATTAATTCGTCTGGAAATAATGTTGATAACCGTCGATTTTCGGCGTGGTAATCGCTTTAAAAATATAATATTTATAAGTGGTCATCTGACGACTGTCGACGATCGAAGATTAACTTAATGCTATTATGCTCTCGGTTAGTTACAATTACATTTTATTATTATTATCATGTAATAATATAACACAACCGCGGTGCAGTTACCGTGGTTATCGTTGGAGAGCAGTCGTCTCGAGTTATAATAATTGCACTGCAGTTCGTGTGACACACCAATATATTGCATATTGCACATCATAATAATAAATGTCATTTAAAGTCATCGTGATACAATGGTCACTATTATATGCGGTCGAACGGTATTCGAGGGCAAGGGCGAATCGTTTATTAATAATAATATATTATTATAAAGTATTGCCAAACGCGTCGAGGGATAATATGCCATATTATTGTGCAGTATATATATTATATTTATTTATAGGTTGTGGTTCATTGCACTCGTGTGCAGCAGCTGTCATCCGCGAAACATATTTTAGATATTCTATAATAATTAATTAATTATACAAACACTATTTTCGTAGGGCTTTTCTGTTTTAACAAACCACTAGAAACCGCAGTAGTGGAAAATGGACCTGCAGTATTTGGCAGCTATATGTCGTGAACGGACTTGAGATATGAATTTAAAAAATCTCTCAATAAGCACAAAGCATATTTATTATAAAAGATCCAATAACTGTCTAGATTTTCTTCAAAATTAAACCATATTTTATTAAGCACATAACTATATACCGTGGTTCTATTGTTTTTGTCAATCCGAGAATATTTGTTTTGAATTCTGCAGCCCAACCACACGCTATCCCACCAATATTTTTTTGGGGTATTTACTATGGGAAAAGCCCAAAACAACATTTTCAAAATACCATCGTACTTTACTCGAGCTCGAACTCCATACTAGTATTTCTAAACGCGTTTGAGTACCTCTAAAATACATTTATATTACATCCAAATGATACGCAATAAACAATCATATTTACAAAACAATATTGGCCGGTCCGTCGCGGTTATCAAATTCTCCGAACTATTGCTTATGCATATAATACGCAACGAATTTGTATACATCACGAATCACAGGCGCGTAGCCAGGAGAATTTTTTTTTAGAATTGGGGGAGGGGGTTAATTTCATATTTAAAAATATAAATTGTGCGGGGGCCTAATAACTAATAGATAGTGTATAGCTCCGAGCTATGCACAGTACAGACTCTATTGAAGTCAACGATATTATATCAATATATGAAATAGAACCATACTATAATAATATGACAAGCAACCAGAGCTTGCATTTGCAGAAAAAAATTCCGTTTTATGTTATTTACAATTATTAAACGTTATTTCAACTTTTGCGTTTATCGTTAATTAAAATAGTGTTAATACCTATTAAATTTAAAAATAATAACTAATGCGGGTAGGTAATTGCCCGGATTCTGAATATAATATAATCTTAAATTGTTTGCACGAAATAAATGTTTCTACGGAACCAATTAAATGACATTTTAAATAAATAGATTTTAAATTATTTCGTTTATTTTTCGTTCAATGATATTCTATAAATTACGTTTTGCGTTATGTTTGTTAATCATATTATATAATATATTTTGTTAATAGTTAGGTTTTGATTTGCAGTATTTAATTATTTTTGATTTTCGCTTTCTGTTCTACTAACGTTTGCAAGCCCTGCAAAGAACATACTATTTTGTAGGAATGTGAACCATATTCTAACAAATAACAACTATAATTTATTATAATATTGTATTTACATAAAATATACGATTTAGGGGTTTCAACGCCCAAAACAGCCCCTCCTCCCGGCTACGCCACTGTCTCGACAGTACCATAATAATATGTACTTATAAGTACCTACTGATAATGGTTTTGACGTTATTATAGCTGCAGTGTTTAACGTCGGCTATCGGTTTTAAACGAAAATAAACATTATTTCAAGTATATTATATAGCCCACGATACAATAATAATAATATGTTTAGCAGAATGCGTAATCGACAATAATAATAATAATAAAGTAATATATTAAAGTGCTGTAGTGCATACCGAACATTGTTATTGTACAATCAATATATTATTATTATATACATTGACGTTTGACTTATAATTATCAACAGCTGCACGATTCTGCAGTGAATTGTGATAACATATATGTAATAACTGGACCTCTCGAACGGGCTAAAAATATAAACGCAAATATGTTTACCTCTAAACGATTTTATTTTTTTTTTTAGTCCCACGTCGCGCGCAGTCTGTGTGATTTAATTTTCATTTTTTTTTCCGGCGTATTATGTACAAATCGTTAAAAAATATACAAAAAGAACTACAACGAAACATAATTTATAATAATAATAATCTAAGCTAATACCTATAATGTATACTTAGCTGGACAAAAGCATAACGCTGACGTGCAGCGTTGTTGGCCATTATTGCCACCTATACGTATTATTATTATGAGATTTAAGAATCGCAAGAAAATATTAACAATGAATGGCTTGGTTTTGGATTCGCGAATAAAAACTGGTTTTCATGTTTTTTTTCGACTTCGTCCACACACTCCAAACGACGACCCACAATATTATTATAATGATAATGAATATTATACACATATACACTCGCGAGTTATAATGACCGGTTATTGAGGACTATAGAATAATAATATTATACCAGATACCCGGTACCTGCAGTGTGTGTGCTATGTACCTGTATAGTTGTGTGCGAGTAATATCCTTTTTATTTGCTCTGGCGTTTGATGTATATCGGTAAATATCCGCTACTACAATATTTCAATAACTATATCTATTTTAGAGGGGGTGAAAACGGGGCACTAGCCCCCTCTGGAAAACAATATTATGAACTTATAAAATAACAAATACTACCATGATATTACCAGATAATTACCAATGAATAGACATCATAAAACAGTTTGTTTTTCTTAATTCCTGTCGGATGTGAAATAAAACGTATTAAAATAACATTAATTTAGCTTACTTTGAGCCATTTTTACCAATGTGTCCATATCTATATGACCATCCTCCGATTCACCACCATAAAATATGTGTTACTATATACTATAATTTACCAATAAGTTTTAGTCGATGGTATCCTTTAGTCACTTAGTATTTTTAATTTTTTTTAGAACCTATATCAGATAAAATATTTTTGACGAGTTTTGGCCATTTTGATTGTAATATACAGGTATATAATGTATTTATGTAATACATTGACTACATTAATATTTTAGTTTCATTTCTTGGCATATTTAATCATGATGGTTATTTCATTGTGAAACTAAAAAAACTTGTAAATACTAAATAGCTACATAGTGTGATATTATGTAAAAACGTTTTAAATAAAAAAATATAATTTTTTTATAGTTATAATTTATTGCTCTTAGTTAACAATGAATTGTAAATATTATAATTTCAGCAACTCAAAATACAGTTGCTTGAAATTAATAAAAAAAACACACACAAACCCTTGTGTAAGCTCTCTTCTATAAATTATTCAAATATTATATAATATTTACAAAATATATCGTCATCACATAATATTATTGTGGTTTTGTATACATTTCAATTCGCACATTTTGATAGGTGAACAATTCTACTTCTCTTCCCTAAACGGATCAATCAATCAATAGGGACCTAGAAAAGTCGCCATCGCACAAAACTTACCATTTCAATAATATAATAATAATTTCGTTGTAATTGTTATACACGTCTTATGCATATAGAATTAGGGTTTGAAGTATGAGAAATATTTCATGAAATATTTCAAATGAAATATTTCATTTTGAAATATTTCACTAAGTTGTGAAATATTTCACAAAAACGTGAAACATTGAAATTTTTTTTAACACAAATAAAAACACAATTTATTAATTTTTTTAACACAATGTTCAGTGTTCTAAAATCTAATGTCAGAATTCAGTAAGTATACAATATACATGTATAATATTGTATACCTACTTGTATCATTTAAACATTAAAATATTTAAAAATTTTGAATACCAATTTAAATGTATAATACCAAAGGTTCGGTATACATACAGGTACCATATAGTGATGAAGGTAATTTATGACAATTATATGTAAATATAAAACTTATTTAAAAATAAAACAAAATATATTAAAATACTGAAATATTTCACATATTTTGAAATATTTCATGAAATATTTCACGAAATATTTCATTTTTTTAAATTTCATGAAATTTTCAAACACTATATAGAATACATGCACCACACTGCATCTCCAAGTTCAATCGGCGTCGTATCTTATATGTTTTTCTTGATCTTTTTGCAGTATGTCCGGTAGCCGGAGTCCCACGGGAATGGGTGACGGATGCGAGAAGATGGTCGGAGGCCCACCGTCCAACTTGGACTCAAGTTCGTCCGAATCCATCGACGGTGACAACATGAAGTCACACATACACATGCTGCACAAACCTAGCGCGATATCGTTTGGGCACTCGATGATCACAGGCCAGGTAAGATCGCACAACTAAGTACATTGTTATAATACTAATATACAAACAGTAAATATATATTATATTATGATGATGATGATTATAATATGACATAGTATAATTGATATATTGTAACTATATACATCGAGAAGGATTAGAATACTTGTCTATTTAATATACACTATACCTATATAGGCATCTATAATACTTGTCCATCTCGATGGTATGGTATTTTATTATGTGGTATTACCTACATAGGTAGTCGGTTAAGCAAAATACCATACGGAAATAAAAGCCAATGAGTGACCCACGTGAAGTTAGCATTACAATGTTAGCTGAACTTTTCAAAAACCTTCCAACAATGTTCAAATAGACTTGTTGGACATGTTGGACGCTCCACTTCTTAACATGATACATTTTTTACTGCCAACTTCACATATACCTTTACAGTTTTTCCTTCAATTTTTTTTAAGCGTACCATATAATAGGTAGGTACCTACCTATTCTGCAGCGTCAAACTTTTCAAACGGGTAAAAATATGTTAACTACCTGTCACCGTGACGGAGACCATAAAAAAATTAAAACTCTCTATGCGTTTAATGTTTTCATAATTCCATAGGTTATTATTATTTCGTTTCGCTGTAGATATATAATATTTTGTCATGTTATAATGATCTCTATGTAAATATTGTAAATGACACAACGCCGGCCGTGCCGTGTCGGATCGGCGTAAAAATAAAATATGATTAAAACAATAATGCGATGACGGTGCAGCCGATGGTAAAAATAAGAAGAAAAAAATCGTGACCGGAAACCGTTGTGTTGGACGCTGTGCAGCTGTTTCCTTTTTGGCAAATACAATCAGTTTGAACGATTGCCAATTATTGTAAATACAAATCGGCCGCGTGTGGCCTACAATTATTATAATATACAACACTCGACGGCGATGACGGTGATGACGGTGATGATAATAATTATTTTAACGATAATATACATAATAATAATAATAATATAATGTTATATTATTATATTCGGCAAACAATCAAAACCCGGTGCTGTGCATCACTCTATGTTATTATTATTATTATTATCGTGTTGGCCAGCTCGTACGTTTTCCGGAGCAGCCGACGCGAATCGTACATTAAAGTTTCAGTGGTTTCACGATCTCAATCTATTTGCGAGCTCTCAAACCGTAGCCTGCCATATAATATAATATAATAGAAACCAAATGGAAAACATACAAATATACAATTGTGCTCCCGAATTGTGATATTGTGTGCACTCGAAGTACGAGTTCAAAGAATTTTTTATTAAAATTTTTTTTCTTGATGCACCGTCAATTGTGCGCATGTGTTATTATCATGTCGAAAAGATTTTTTTCTAAAAGCGAACAATCACTTGCTCGATTAAATCCAACCACCTCGACTTAATTAAAATGCATATTTAAAAATAATCCGTCAAGGGAAAATTAATTAACTTTTTTTTGAACTAAATAAGGTTAAAGCTTTTTTTAAAAAAAAATATTAACTTTAAACTTACCGGGTTAAATGTATTATTTGACTATCCTACTATAACATCTAACCTCACGATATTGTGTTAAATTCACTCGAGTTCATTATTTTCATATTTCCTTATCCCACCTTTGAGCCTTTTAACTTATGACTCGTTTGATGTGTTTGTTAGGCCCTTTAGTATAATTTACACAGCCATAGTCATTGAATTGTGTGCTTACACACTTGTCGATCGCGTATGGTTCTATATTTAAAATTAATTGAACATTTAAACGTATATCCTTGCTGGAAGGTATGCGAGTATAAAATCAAGCCAAAAGTTTACACCATTTATCTGTCGTCTAGTGTAATCTTTACTAAAGGTCAATTCGATTTCGAAAGAGTTTTGTTATAAATGTGCCGCATTGTATAATAATGTACCTATATAATATTATTATTATGGGTAAGTACCGTCGCGGTCGTCGTACGAAACATACCTTTGGCTTTCATTCAGTACAACTCCCCGATAGAACTCACTTGTTAAATTTTTTTTTCCGGAATAGGTTCCACATTACAATATATTGTAGTGTTGCCAATTTATTTTAGTCTTAGTTGAAATACTTTTCAATATAGGTAGTAAATAGAAATCAGAAATATTTTTAATGTAATAAATTTGAAAAATAATCACAATAAAATCTATTCTATTTTTTGAATACTTTGTGATATTGTTTATACAGTATTAGTTGAAATAATAGAATAAATATATTTTAATAATATAATACATCTAAAATTATATTTTTAACAAATTTTCTCAATCAATAAATTCTGAGTCAATGTTAAGTTTTTGAATATATTATATTTTGTTAAACATGAATACAAAAACAGCATAACAACAATTTATTATCAAATCCAAAAAATAATAACGCCCAGTGTATTATACCTGCTCATACCTGATACATCGTAGCTGATCATATATTATGATTAAACAATAGCGAGATAAATTAAAACAGTTAAACATGTTAATTTTTTATCAAAGTATTTGTTCTTTATGTATATTATATTATATGTCGGTTACTTTGCAGTAATTATTAATTTAAAAAAAATATAAAGTCATTAATATAAAAACGTATGGGTATTTAGGCGGTACCAAAAATAAGGGTAGTTTTATGTTATTTTTTAATTATAGAATATATTATAATTTTAATCGCTTTTTGAGCTACCTAATAATGAAAATTCGATTAGGTTATTAATGTCTCGATTAATGTAAAATAAATAAAAACAGTTCATCATCACTTGTTGTAAAATACAAAAAATTCTCTTGTGTAGTGGTTTTAGTTGTGTTACCTACTAAGGTATTTGCAAAATATTATAATATTACCGATATTATTTATAGGTAGTATAATCACAACAAATAATAACTATATACATAGGTATTTACAAACCCAAAATATGGCCTTTAAAAATTGGAATCGGATTGAATGCAATAAATCACAGGGGTTTAAAAAACACAACTATTGCTTAAGTAGTAAGTACCTGCATAGTGCATATTATACGTATTATAACAGTATTTTAGAGGACAACTCGCACGAGTTGCATGCGGCCCAAAAGAGTTTGCAAGTGGCACAGCCAACGTGCATAAAATATGTGTTTCGTAGGCCCGGGACCACCGATGTTTCGTTTAAAAATAACTTTTTCAAACATTTATATTTTATACATAAAAATATCAACGGTTTGCACTGCAAAGCTCGACATCGCCGAAAAACCTTCGTGTTTAAGCTGTGTTTTGGCATACGAATACTTAATGTTGATACAATACCATATTATTATTATTTATTTATTTTTTTTTTATTATCATTACTAATGCATAATATAATATTCATAGCGTGCGGAATCGACGGAATTGCCTTGACGGGTTAATAACGTGCGTAGTCTCAATGGTAGATCGCCATTATACATTATTACTATTATACTGCCATATCTACTACGGCAGCTGTTTGATAGATCTCGATAATTATTAGGATGGCGTGAATTTGTATGAAATACAAGATATTCTTATTGAATGCAGATTTGATCTTAATTTTGAAAAAAAATACGGTCACGAGTTTCATACAACGCCCCTAATAAAATTAAACATATTCATTATTGCATAATTTTTTCAACGCACACTTTGAAATAAATGCATTTTCTTAGATATTTTTCCAATAAGTAGGCACTTAACTTATGCCTACAAATTTTATTAAATATTTTGTATTTTTATAGTTACCAGCTGTTGCTCACAGACACATTGACAATTTGTATTGATTTTGAGGGAAATAGCTAGTATATTAATATCTTGAATCTGGCGTAAATCATAATATAAAAAACGTCGGGTAATCAATGATAGATAAAATAGGTCAACAATTTTCAAGATCGCCATATCTATTATACTCTAGTGACTATCCATTTATTCAGTACCTACTTTTCTTTTTTATATGATTCAAATATTAAAAATGAATGTTGGATCAAAACTTAAATAGTTTAATAATATAGAATATTTATAATATTATTTTATAATAGTTTTATTAGCCGCCATCATTCATAATATTAATTTTGACAGTAACACATTTTATCGGTGACAAATATATCGGTAAGCAACCGTTCTCCCCTAATTTCACTTATTTTTCCGTTCGTCTGCGGAAATATTCATAATAACAATCAATCAATATCGCGATAATCATATAGGCAATATTATATAATAATACTTATTAATCATTCGCTGACTTGGTCGATCGTTGTGTCATAAAAAAATCGTTATTGTTTCAGGACCACTTGTCCAGTCACGAGATGATGTTCGGAGGCGGTGGCGACCTCAAGTCATCGATGTCCGGCGTCGGGGGCGTCGGCGCGGGCGGCATGTCCATGATGGCCAACTCGGCGGCCGCGGCCGCAGCATACCACCACCAGACGCAGCTGATCGGCGGCGGTATAGGAGGTGGTGGCGGCGGCGGTGGCATCGTCGGCGGGTTCGGGTCTCCCATCGGGAGTCGCCCTTTGATCGCCACTGGCGTCGGCGGTGGAGTCGGCAACGGTGACCACCACAGTCACTTGCAGCAGATCGCCGCCGGTCACCCCGCCGATCCGTCGCTACTGCACGACTACCATTCCTTATGACAGTGGGTGTCTGGCTACAACGGTGGCCAGCAATGAAGTCGCAACGGATACGCACTCGCACCCGCACGCCGATCGCACCCGCACAGCACCCACACACGAGCGTCGCTCTACATTACATAATATAATGATATAATTATTGTAAAAATAATAATAATTTTAACGCACACTACTCGTCGGCGGCGGGGGCCATAGTGCGCGTAGGTAGTTTCGGACGAAACAGATTCGATTCACATGGCAAACGAGTAATCTTGCACTTACCCGCGAGGTATATTGATTATAATGTTAATTTATAATAATATCACAATGTACGATATTTTATTATTGTTTTCATTATTATTGTATATCGTTGTGCGACGGAAGCCGCAACTACAGGACGGCTGCCCAAGCGACCGAGTGTCGTCGGCATCAAAATAATATTGTCTTCGGCACAAAAGACGTACTTAAATACATACACACATATATAGATAGTACAATGCTGTACATGATATTATATAAATCTAATATATATATAATAATATTATTATAAATTGTCTAGCGAGAGTATAATATATGATAATATATATTATTTTATAATAATACGACTATTGTGTACTTCTCTGAGGTACAATAATAATATACATAGTGTGTGATATGTTACAACAATATATATAATATATTGTGGTGTGGGTGGGTGGGTGTCCATCTCGGCACTCGACAGCAGTGAGCATAACTATTATAATATAACACATGAATATTATAATAAATCAAATATAATAAAACTATGAAATCAATAACAACGCAATACTAATGCTAGGTTGCATGAACAATTTATTAAATTTAATGGTTCACTAAAAACGTAATGGGCCAATCACGGGCCACTAAATCTTGTTTAAGGGACCATTAGCTCACTATATTGATTCGTTAAATGTTTTGTGCAATCCAGCATTATAAGATTTTATGGGGTCCATCTCCTAAAAAACGAGTATGGACTTTCGGTCCTATGCACACATAGATACCACTGGCCAGCCCTGACTGAAATCGTTTCGTACAAATCGCGTAGCTAGCCAAAAAAATAATAATATGTAATATTATTGTTACATCTGCAGCGGCAGAACGTCATAGATAATATACGAATTCTTATATTATCTATGCATCACGTGCGGACGATGGACGTCGAAACAACAACCTGTAGTGGGTACCATGATAACAAAAAAAAAAGAAGATTTACCCCGAACAACCACTAAAAATCTTAATACAACTCACACGGGATAAACATATTTGTGTATTCAAAATCCGACATTATCGTGATTAGACCCAGCCTCAAGTTCCAGTTTTATCAGCTTCCGAGTTCCGAAAGTCCTCTGCTGCTTCGAAGTCGATAGATCGTACATTATAGCCTATATAGGTATGCCTATTGCGCCGTGTAAATGTATTATGTTATAATATTGTTATATTAAATTTAATTAATATATGCGACTCGTTTACGTTTTGTTTTGTAAATACCATAATAATTATTATATTACATTTTGTTCTTCGCATTAAATCCCCTTACTCCTATTAAATAGGTAATGCAGGGCGTAACAGAAATACCTAACAGATATCAGTATAAGCATTGACTAACAATGTAAAAAAAATGTTTATTTTAATCGTGTTTTTTTAAATTTAATTAATTATATAATGTATAAAAAATAATTCATATAACAATTACAAAAACAAAGGCTATATCGTAGTTTGTTAAAATTAAATTTTACAGTTATTTCTGTTACCCCTTGTATAATAATATAATATAATATATTTTATAGTCACTATTCGTTGTTAATATAGAAATAGTTGTACGGTTATAGTCCACTTATTAGCTTATTTGGTTTACATTATTACAATTATATTACGTGTATAAGATAGGTACTTACGCATGAACAGTATTTTGACAAAACTTAGAAACAATTTTCCGAAATATATTATATTATATATTTTCGAGTTCGTATATCGTTTTTAAAAGTTATGTAAACCTATATATCAAAGCTTTATAGTTAATTATTGTGTTTGGATGTTTCTATATCACTTTATCATTTATTAAAAATCATTTTATAACTCAAAATTATTTCAAATCTTAGTACCAGCTATATCACATTATTATGTTCCTCTAATTAATTATTTTCATATATATTTTTTTTTACTTCTTTACAAGGACAGATTTCATTAAATTCTTAATTCTGAACTCAAATTTACGACGTGGCAAACCGTATTATTTAGACATATAATATTTTTGTCGTAAATCATATTATTATTATTTTTTTAAATCATCATAATTAAAATTTTAAAAACAACGATAACCAAAACGAGAGTATAGTCGTTCAAACGGTTATAATATAGGTATGGTTTGAAGGGACGACGAGATAATTAATGGGATGCCTCATAAGCATCATTGTACATAATATTGTTTATAGTAATTATTATTTGTTTACCAAATCATTTTTTTCCCCGAGTTTTTCATACAAATTTTAAACCTGTCGAGAGACCAAGAACAGAAAGTTATCCCAAACGATACATTTTGTCTGTCGCGTTTAAATACTAAAAGCGCTCTGCGATCGGCTATAATCCGCCACTGCAGCAGTCCGTCCATCGGCCGGATTTGTCGGAAACCGAAATGACAATTTTAATATCTACCAAAGCGAATCGGGTGTATTAAAATAATACTAAAAAAAAAAACCGTCTTTTCGACTTTACGGACGGTGTCATCGTCGCGTCGTGACCGTCGTTCCGTCTAGACTAGATCGAGCTCGCGGCAAACTGGTTTATCCGTTGGTAGGTGTAGGTAGGGTACTGTAATATTTCGTCAATGAGATTTAAAACTATTCGAAAATGGCATCAAAAAAAATAAATAAATAAAAAACCAGTCGGAACGTTACGAGCGAAAGATTTAATAATACATATTATTAAATAAATGACATAGGTATTTTCGCCGTCGTTTAGTATTGTTCCTCCGCAGCTGTCATAATTTGTGTTTCATTTTTTTTCTCCTGTCCGTTCCGCGCAAAATCCTTGGTGACAATTAGCGCTCAGGATATTCGGTGTCATACATTACGGCAAACATGTTTACAGAAACACAATCTCCCAAGGACATCTCAAGTTTTCTATAACAGTGTACATAAATATATATATATGTGTGAGTGTGTGTGTGTGTATTACACTATGGGTATAATAATATGTAGGTACTCCGCGTTCAAATTAAATAATTTTTAATCACTTAACGACTTGTCACTCTTCGCGGTAGGTACCTATACACACCTCCGCGTTCGTATCATATTTTTTGTTTTATTGAAAACGATTATTATTTTTTTTTTTTTTTACCAATATTAGACACGTGTTTTCATCCGACGTCTTGAGCGCAATACAATCGGTTTACTTTAGTACCGCCTGCTCGGTCCTATAAAAGAAGCCTACGATTCATCAAATTCCACTATTAAATTTAATTAAATTCCTCTATTATATAACATTATTATAGGCAATTGTAATCACTAGTCGTTCGACTTTTCATAAAAAGTGAACTGTGAAAATATAAAAAAAAAAAGAAACGTCATTGCCAGACAAAACTCGAGGGACTATGGTCCTTTTTAAGCTGTATTGTAGGTACAGATCAAAAGTCGTGTCCGGGGGAACGGACGAATTGGTGACATTTTTCAGATCGGGAAATATAAATTTAATCGACCCACAATAAAATTCTTATTCAAAATAATCAAAGAGTTTACTTTTAAAACATCTAAAAGCTATAGCTCCCCGGGAAGCGATGATAAAAATGTAATAGTAATAATAAATAAAGTTTGTTATAAAAATATGTGAGGGCCACACGAAGACAATCGATTTTCGATTTCCCACGAAATCCTCCCAAGTTCAGTGTAACACTATGCTCTCCAGATTGCAGGTCACCGTGTCCAGGTATCTTACCGTGGTAGGTGTTGTGCCTCGTTTGTAAATTATAATAGACTATAATATAATATTATTCGATTTACCCAAAGCGTAGACTTAACACACTGACACACACACACACACACACACACACACACACACACACACACACACACACACACACACACACACACACACAAATATGAGGCTAATACAAACTTGTGTACCTACAGCGACGATCAGCGCCGATCCGAGTGACGTAGGTATAGAATATTATAATAATATTATAGATAATCCGCGACGTGACATTTGAAAACATATTTACTTAAACTGCAGTTTTACAGTTCCTATGTATATATATATATACATTATTATATCCACACAATATGTTTCTTATATATATATATCTATAATATTTTAAAATGAGAAAAAAACAAAAAAAAAACTTATTTTTACACTCAAAGCGAATAATAAAAATTATTATTATTATTTCAACGCACACGAAAATCTTTTGACGTTTTCTTCAAACTATTTGTAATATATTATATCGTAATTACTTGTATTACACGTTTGTATTATATTATTTTATAATGCAATAACTTTCCTCGCCGACATGGCGATTTCAGGAGGGGAAAATTATTATTATTATCATTATCATTTTTAATAAATACGTCGTTCTCAACGCTCGTATGTACTATTATTAAATATATATTATTTCTATACGTCTGTGATTCTATATATTTTTTTAAGTTATTAAAACGTTCGCTATCTGTATTATATTATTATTATTATTATTATTAATTATTACTTAACTGTATATTATTATTATTATTATTATATAAAATTATAGTTGCTGACTACGTACCACATTTTAGATGATACTATAATACAATATTATTATTATATCTTTACATTATATTATTATTTTATCGTATACATACTTTGTAAATATTATTAGCTAAAACCAAAGTGTTATGTGGTAGAACATCACTGTTTTCTATATATATTATTATTATTATTATTACTATTATTGTGACAGTAATCTCTTGATTGTAAATGTAAAAAAAAATATGGTGTTTTAATATTTATTATGTTGATTTTAAAAATAAAAAAAT